TTCAAGTTAGCTTTGTGCATACTTGGAGAGAAGCAAACTAATTCACGAGCTAAAGAGTGAACAAATAGGCAAGAGTTGTTTATGACACATTCCCCTTGATAGGCCAATATTTGTTATTTTTTTGAGTTTTTTTTTTTTTGAGTAAATTGACTATTGTATTATTAATTTGAGGAAGTACAAGGTATTGGTAGATATGAAAATAGACATTCCCCATTCCTGGGTGCCCCATGCAGAAAACCTTAAGGGTTCAGGAAAGCTGTACACCAATAAGATCACGAAAGAGGAGCGAGAACAGAATTGGCTTGAGTCCTCTAAGCGGGGTTGAGGCTAGCTCCCTCCTTGGCTAGCAAATCTGCATCGGCGTTACCCTCCCTCTGTGTGTATCTCTAAGAGACTTGGAGGGAAGTACATAGGTGATCAATCTTGGCAAAAATGGCATCTAATATCCATTGGATGGGAAAGAATCCAGATGCCCAGGAGATAGTGTTTTGAGAGTCGCCCTCAACCAATAACTGGGTTCTCCAATTTCAATCGAATCTTCTAAGACCCTCATGCAATGCCACGGCTTCTGCGTTGGTGAGTCTGACACTCCAATGGGCATTGCAATGATGACCAAATAAGGCCCTCAGAATTCTTGTAAAGGCCTCAGATGCCGGAGGGGCCTCGGTTGCCAAGGGAGCAACCATCGAAATTGAACTTGATCGTCCCTATTTCCAGCGGTCTCCAAAGGGATGCCCCAGATTTTCTCATGACCCTCAGATAAAATAAGGCCTGCACCTGGAGGTGAACGTCCGAGAAGGAGTAATTGGAGAAGATTTTATGGTTGAGAGCCCAGAAAGTAACGAGGGACCTACATTTCTCTATGAGGGTAGGAATAGAGGCTGTTTCCCCTCTAAACGTCCTACCATTCCTTTCAATCCAGATAACCCATAAGGTAACAGCAATGGAAGCTATCCATAAAAGTTTCCCTGACCCATTCCATGGGGTGCGAAAGTAAGACGAGAATAAGTGCGGAACTGACTGGGAGATTGTGTGCTCTCTGAAGATCTCTCTCTAGAGATTGTTTGCTCTTTGAAAATCTCTTCTAGAGATTGTTTGCTCCTTGAAGATCTATTTCTAACATATGGACAGGGAAGCCAATGGTTCGGCTAACCAACTTTTAATCACTTTTCATAAATGATTTATTATTCATAATTGAAACCCATAAATCCCAAATCAACTTTAATTCCCAAAAAAACAAAGCTGAATTCCCTGACAAATTTTCTTTCAAATTTCCAAATTTCTTACAAATTACCCATAAAATAAGCCCTTTCCAACTGTGTACTCTTGAAGCTACTTAAAAGTGCCCTAAATAACATGAGGTCGCAGGTTCCATTCCTGCCTACTACCCATCAACAAGTCCAAAAAAAATGATACGAGATGATTTCAACAACCAGCATTCCCGAAGCCTTTTGTATAAAGCCCAAACAGTTCCAGTTTTATATTCCAAGCATGTAAGCAAAAAGATTTAAACACTGCAAAATTCTGTCTCTTAAACACTACAATCTATTTGGATAGCTTTTAGAAGAACCCAATATATAACAAATCCCATGATTGGCTCTACTAAGTTGAAAACCAGGTTTTGGCAATTTGCTGTTAAACTTGTTAGCAGTCCATTTCATAAGTTAATGATTGCATATGGTATACGGACAATAAAAATGATTTCTTGGAAATAAGGCATCTACAATATGATAAACAAATTCGAAGGTTCAGATCTTATTTCTTAGAGATCGAATTTGGATACACACACATACACTGTCTCTCTCACACACACTCTCTACTGCACGTCCACACTATTGATTATACAGCAACATTGCACTATCCAACATTATTGCATTGTTTTCTATGTATCACTTCTTCTTTGATTGAAAAATATACAACATTATTGCAATATACAGCACATTGCAATATACAACAATATTGTTTTCAATAGAAAGAGCTTTAAAACTTACTACAGCGTATTATGCTTGTCTTCTACAGCGCCTTATGCAAAGAACATATTAAACATGAAAAAAAAAAAGCCATAAATAAAATATAAAAAAAAGTGGTAAAAGGAACATGGTGCAGATTCTAGAATCATTCGGATCCTATAAAGGAAAAGGTTCTAATACGTGATCAAGATTTCGACCAAGAATGCGGTTCATGACATGGACTTGCACCCTCTTAAAGCATACGAGTAACCACAACCATAATTCTCAAAAGCGGAAGGAAAAAAAAAACAGAATATACAATCAAATTTCAGTGAGCACACCGTGGAAGAAAAGGGACAATCACCATCTTTGAACACTGATTAAATTTCCGAGGTGACAATGTGCCAATAGAGAAGCAGCATTTTAATAGGCAATTCAAATGTAGAGGGAACACAAAACAAAGCAAATAGTACTTATTTTTCAGATTCTTTTATAATTTTTAGTTTAAACCTGTAAAAAATATTTTACTGCAGCTTTTACTAATTTTGCTACCAAAAACTTGGATTCCTTATGAGAATGACAGTGGTTAGGCCATGGGTTCTTGCAACTCAAGCCCAAGGTCATGTAAAAGAGTCAAGAATTGAAAATATAGGAGAAAATCAATGTTTTATTGGTTTTCATTTTCTCTCACTAAAACTATCTTCAAGAACTTGAATTGGCAGAGAAAAACTCAAAACCAGCCGAATGCTGCCAAAATAGCCACACAGTATCTTAATACAAGGTCTTGGTTGGCGCCATACCACAGGAATAATTTTTTTTTTTTTGAGAAATATGTTGACTTTTTATATATAGTAAAAAACTAGATAGAGCTAGAATTAATAAATATTATCTGCATGAACCATGTACTGCTTATTTTTGTAAATATTAATAATTATTTTGTGCATATTTCTCACCACAATTTAGCAGGAACATATACAATGCTACATAGTATACGCTATTTAAGCTATCTGATGGGAACATCATCGGAAAGTTTGTCTTTCATATTTGCATCAGTTCCATTAATTGCATCAGTTTAACATGAAGACACATTGTTATTTTACATTTATTATATTTAACAAAATATTTAACAAATAACAAAAGGAAAGGAGAAAAAAGAGTTTTTTGCGAGGGTTATGTTTAGAGAATCACATGGTCTTTTTTACCTTTTCTCTTTTCGATCCCCTAGTGATCCTATAGATAAAAGATAAGAGAAACAAAATGTGATGTGCACATACACGACGGCATGATACGCTATTCAAGCTATCTGATGGGAGCATCATCGGAAAGTTTGTCTTTCATAGTTGCATGAGTTTCATTAACATAGAGACATATGTTATTTAATAAGAAGACACACTGTTCTTTGAGTTAAATTGGTATTTGATTGCCTTCAAAAGCCTAAAAACCTCTAGTAAACATTTGCTAAACAAGATATTATCTAAGATGGACTCCACCCTGCACTACGTGCAGATCCCTCTTTTCACTGCATCAGACAGTCCATAATATTTCCCACCCCTGGCTTTAATTGAGTATGGCATGATAGCAAGGAATAATAATTGAGCATGCTATATCATAGATGCAGTGTTCAGAGGCAAGCACAACAAAAATTCCAATCAAACCTTGAATGCATCATACAATAAAACCAGAACAATAGATTTGCATGAATCATACAATAAACCTCAAGGTGTTGCAGGCATCATACAATCAAACAATAACAATCAGATTTCAAACAATCAAACAAGGGCAATTAGATTTGCATGCATAAGCCCATCAACCTCAAGGTGTTTGCAAGCATCATACAATCAAACAAGAATAAATGATTTCATAAAATCAAACAACCATATTATCAAGAATAAAAAACAACTCCAGATTGAGAAAGGATAAAGCGAACAATGGAAAAAACTCAACCAAAAATATCAGTTTTCCAGAGTGAGAATGTCCAAAAAGATCCAAAATATAGAAATCCACAAAAATATATCAACAAAAATGCCACATTAATGCACACTGGCCATACTATCAGATTCAGGGAAATAAATGTCACAAAAAAAAACAAAACAAAAGTTGAAAACCCACAAACATGCGCATTTCCTCTCTCTCTCTCTCT